TTGATATAATATAAATTCAAATTCAAATATGAATAGATTTTATACCATTTTTATAAGTAGATTTTTTATTCTTTATTATCTAACTATATATAATAGAATAATATGGTTAATTCATATTTTTGGTTTATATAATATATTTCCGGAATATAGATGAGATGAATTCAAGAAAGATAATATATATATATATATATATAATATCAATTAATTTTATTTTCCAAACCAAACCTATCAAAAAATAAATTAATTACTCCCTCCGTTCAAAAGTGTAAGGCATTTTTAATCAAATCTCATTTTCCAATAAAGTAGTTACCTATTTTCAAACTAACCCTATCTTTTCATATTTATTCCTATTAAATACCCTACAACAAATATAAAGTCATTTATTAATATGGGCACTTTTAAAAAAAAAGGTAATGATTATACCTCAAATGACTAAAAATATCTTACATTTTTTAACAGAGAGAGTATATTTTATTACTATGGAAAAATGTAAAATAAAATAATTTGATTACTCCTTTTTAAATAATTCGATATGAATTTCAAGGAGATAGTTAGAGAAAAATAATATATATATATATATATATATAGCTAGTAACCACTCATTTATTATATGTGTATGTGTGAGAATGTATTTTAGTTGACAATATAATTTTTAAACTCAAATAAATATAGAAAGGAGAATATTCCTTTTCAATATTTTAGTTAACAATATAATTTTTTAACTCCAAGAAATGTAGAAAGAAGAATGTTCCTTTCCAAGCCCAGAATCTTTTGTCTAACTGAAAAAATGCATGACTTTTGGCCAAAAAAAAAACGAAAGAAAAAAATGTATGATTTATTGTAGAGGGATAATGCTACTTTTAGTCCTAATACTTCGCTTGAATTTTATTATAGGATTAATATATAATTCAAACTCTAAACTATAGGTCTATAAGAAATTTGAATCCTATGCTAGCAATTAATACATTTTGAATCTTGAACAATTAAACTTGGGGCGTCCTTGCCTCCACTATTAATTTGGTCCTAATGTCAATTAATAAAAGGATTAAATGGCAATTTATACCCTAAACTATAGATTCAAAGAGAATTTCAACCCTAAACTCATATTTGGTATAGTTTGAACTGTCAATAATTAAATTTGGATCAATCTCACCCCACCGTTAATTCAGAATTAATGTATGTTTGCTTTAAGCATAGGGTGACCCATGCTTCTTTATATCTAATACCATTAATCTTGCCCTTATCTTGCTTCTTCTCTTTCTCTCTATCTCTAACACATGCTTCTTGTTCATAGCTAATGGTAAATCGTGAAATCCATAAGGAGCTGGAAGTGTATATATAAGATTCTTAACTATTAATCGAACTTCACAACAAATTAAATTAAAATCAGCACAAACACTTATGATTCAAACTACCAATATTAGAAATCAATCTCTGGTTGCTAAATTAAGAGAAAATAAATTATAAAAAAACCTCTCATAGGTATCTATGAACTCGGCTCCTTTCAAAGCAATCAAAATGTCACAAGCTAGTGCAATCATAGATCCAACCATCATACCAAATCCTCTAACGTCACCCTTAAAGACATCTTCCATCATGGTTACCCAAGCCAGACAATATGATTACTTGCACCAAATCATCCCCGTCCATCCTCTTGAATGCTTGGGATAGGTTAGCCATCATTAACCTAGGCAATGAGTTTAGAGAACCAGGTTAATTGATCATGATCAAAGCAATAATGTTTGGCTTCCATTAGATGAGTATTAGCTTCTTCTTTGTTGATGAAGACACTAGCAAGCCTTGAATTCATACATTCAAAAGTGTTCAAAAGAGTGTGAATCAAGATTATTGTTGGAGGATTTTTCCATGAGGTTGTTGTGAGGGAGGAATTTCCACATAAGGGTCTCATAGAGAAAGGGAGAGGAGGAAGACGCCACTTGGGAATGTAAAGAGGCATAGATGCGCGTGCGTGCGCGCACACACACAAAGAGAGAGAGAGAGAGAGAGAGAGAGAGATCAAATGCCACTTATCTAGGCCCACAATTAAATTAATGAGTGTTTGTACCATTTTAATAGTTGAGACCAAATTGTCCCAAGTTTAATTGTTTAGGGTTTAAAATATACCAAAATGAGTTTAAAGTTCGAATTGCCTTTGGACCTAAAATTTAGGGTTCAAATTGCCATTAGGCAAAGATCTTGTTAACAAATGTTAGAACCAAATTAATGATGGGGGTGAGGATGCCCCCCAAATTTGATTGTTCATGGCCCAAATATATTCATTACAAATATAAAGTTCAAATCACTTCTGGACCTATAATTCAAGGTGCAAATTGCATGCTAACCCTTTATTATAAATCCCTTTACTTTCTCTATAACTAATGACAGAGCTATGTACAATTAAGGGGGCAAATGCACCTCCTCACATGGAGAAAAATTACATGATGATATGTAAAAACTATAATCTTGCACCCCTAGTTTTAGAATTTTGAACCCTCTAAACTTATTTAAAAAATATTTTGGTTCAAAAACTTTTTAAATAAATAACATTTTACCTCAAATTCCATAAATTTAAACAAAAAAATTTTATACTCATTATACATATTTAAAATAATGGATCTAAAAGTTGTTTATTTTATAGTAAAAATCCAAGCACAACAAATTAAGTTGTTCTTTTGGGTAATAGTTTTTTTATTTTATTTTTCAAACTTTTTTTTATTTTATTTTTCAAACTAAGCTCTATATCAGCATTCTCAACACATTTTTTCCCAAATAAAAATATGCATAATTTTACTCATGTTTTTTTGGCCTAATGTAAATATTTTTTAAAATTATTATATTATTTTTAAATTGAGTTGCCTCGCACGCTTGTCCTGGCTCCACCACTATTTGTAACCAAGGTTGGTCCCTATAGTTTTAAAGGGACATTGATGTAACACAAATGGTGTTAATATTGTTAATGTGTCCACTAGTACCTCAAGAAATTCTTAAGTATACTGGGTGCGCCATATTATTTATAATCTATCCAATAAAAATAATTAATTTTAATATTAATGATAGTAGAAAGAGAAAAAAAATTGAATATACATTCTGGTATAAGAATAAAAATTAATTAAAATAATATCACATAAGGTTTTATTTGAATGATTTAAGAAATTTTAATTGGATAGACATGGCATCGATGTTACTAAGGGCATTATGATATATTAAATGGGTCTTAAGTTGAACTTTTGAATAAGCAAAATAAAAATTAAAAAAGTCACATTAGATTAAAAAAAATGCTTAGCTTAAACACTCAACAAAAGTATTGTATTATAGATTATACATTAAATTTTTTAAACAGATTATTTATATTCGAAAAAGGGACACATAGTACAATTTGAAGTATTCAAAAAGGATGTGATTGAAATTTTTTGAAATCATCAAAAGATCTAAATATTTAAACACAGATTCTATTTTATAAATTTTTAAATAAATAAATATTAATTTAAATTCAAATATATATATATATATATTAATACTTTATTATATCAAGCTTAATTTTTAGAAATCATTAGGATAGATCAAAATTTTCAGAAATCAATGGGAGAAATTGAAAATTTTAAACACAATTTTTTTAAAATTTTTAAGTAGATAGATATTAATTTAAATTTAAATAAATAGATATTTTTAGAAAATATCTTCCACAACACATCATATTATATTAATAAAATATAATTTTAGAACTGTAGGAAAATATAAAATTATTTAATTAGTCCCTTTTAAATGATTTGATTTGAATTTCAAGAAGATTTTATATATATATATATATATATTTAAATGTATGCATATATTCCGATAACTATGCCTTTATATTATATATATATATATAAAATTTTATTTTTCAAATCAAACTTATCAAGAAATAATTAAAATTAATTTTTTATGTGAAAAATAATAAACCATTTCGAACCTAACTCCAAATTTAAATACTCTATTACGCACGCGCATATATAATAAATCATCTTGAATCTAATTCCAAACCTAAATTTAAAACATAAAATCACTAGAAAATTATTCTGAAACACATAATTGTAACATTTTTAAAAATTCACGTGGCATTTATAAGTAACATTTTACCCTACTTTTATATGTATATATATAATGATAATTAATTTTTATATTTAATGCGATAAAAAAGTTATCATTAAAGTTAATCAATTTTCTTGACATATTCCATCAATATTAATAAATTGTATAATCTGATAAAAAATATTTTTCATCTAAAATGAAAACGTTAAAAAATACGGTATGTTTGTTTTGTCTTCACATGCTTGTATAGACTTTAAAAAGTTACTGGATGGTTGAAATTATGTCCAGAGAAGCCTTTCAGTTCAAAAAAGTTAAATTAGATAGGTTAACAGTTTTTTTTTTTAATTGCATGATTCGGATGCTAAATATTATATATTTAATATATTTTTATTCAATTAAATCAGGACAAGTAAAAATGAATAGAATTAATAATATTAATAATAGAGCTTGTTATATAAGAAATAATTTATAAAAAATTCACATGTCCTGATTTAATTAGAAATAAGTATATTAAATATTTATATTAAGCATATAAATTTTTTTTTCTATTTTTTAATGTAACATCTAATTTTGAAGAAGGCTTATATGATTTTTAAATAGTGAAAAGATAACTAGAATTGAAACAAACGTATTCTAATTTTATCAAAAAAGAATCTTAATGACTAAATTTTTTAACCAAATCGTCTGGACTAAATTACAAAAATTATAACTATAATAACTCAATACTTTAAATGTTAAAATTCATTTCAATCAGTATAAGAATAAAGTGTTTTAGTCAGTCAAAGGAAGGATAAATTAGTTTTATTATTATTTTTTTCGAAGTTATATCATTCACTGACTTTAATTTTTGTTTAGCATTTATAAAATATTTTTACCAAAATTTTTCAAATCCTTGCAATTTCACCAAACCAATTCTTAAAAAAAAAACTGCATTATTCTCAAGAAAAGAAATCATTTTATATTAAAAAAAGAACTAGGGTACCAAGAAAAACGCATAAATAACAATAATAATAACATTAGCTTTATTTATTAAGACCAAAAAGCGTCACCCCCCTCCTCGCTCCCGCATATCACGTGCGGTGCACGTGGGAGTGCATTATTCTGGCTGGACTTGCTGTTTCATCATCACCATCTCCTTCTGCCTCCGGAGCTCCAGCACCTTTCGGTGAGAGTTCGAGTGCTGACTCAGCACGAACGTCGGGCTAGCTGCGGGTCGGTATTCGGGTACCAACCGACCCGACTTATACCTCACTCCGCACGCGTTGCACAGCGTCTTGGGTCCTAGTGGTCCGCTTCGCCATTGCGGGGTTTTCTCTGATGCACAGTGGGTGCACCTGCGCACACCTGATCCCTCTCCCGACGACGACGACCCGCCGTTTGCCTCGGCTGCTTTGAGTCTTGATTTCCCACGGGCTGCTCTCGAACGCTTGCTTTGATTAGCTTTTCCGCTAAACGACGTGTCGGAATGCAGAACACAGGAACCCACCACCGTCTCATCCGTCGTAACCGGTAAGTCATGAAAGTAATTGTCCGAGAATTGCGAGAGCCATTCCAGCTCCGCTACGTCATTGTTCTGAGAACAAGGAAAGAGAGTTAAGACACAATGCAAAAGAAATCCAGAAACTCATCCATTCCAGACTCAATAGATCAGACAAAGGAGTTTCAGTTTCCATCAAATGAGTTTATCATTGAATTCTAATTACTAAATTGATCATCCACAGAGCGATAAAAACTAGAACTGAGAATTGTGTTGTACATACGGGGATACATAGATCGACGGCGGGGTCGACGGAAGGGAGGGGAGGGAAATCGTTGAAGTAGGTGGAGGAGGAGGGGGAGAAGGACGAGGGTTGGTGGTGGTGGTGGTGGTGAAATGGGTTTTGTGGTGAAGAGAGCAGTGGCTGGTGGCGGAGAAAACTAGCGGCGGCGGAGAAGGAGGAGGAGGACGTGAGGTCTACGTCGGAGAGGTAGAGAAGGTCGTCGATGGAAAGGGAGTTCGAAACATACATATCCATAGACGGCCGTCCGACGAAGAAATCTGAGAGGGCGTGTGGTGTGAGTCTTGCTCCTCTGTGTGGCTTTCTCAGATCTCAAAGCACCGAGAAGAAGAGAGAGGAAGAGAGGCGGAGGCGTGGAGGGTTTTAAATTAATAACGCAAACGAGCATGGGATGGGGACGAGAGCACGTGCGAGGAGAGAGAGTGAAGTGGACTTTTGGAAAGGATAGAGAAGGGAGGATGAATGAATGACAAAGCAAATTTTGAAGGGAGAATCACACCTAATACTCCCATAATTGATAAAATGACACCTAAAATTCAATATAATCTAAATTTATACAGGTTCAAAAGCCTCAAATACAAATATATTTTTTTCTGAAAAGGCGCATTTACTCTCAAGTATGGATCATGTAAAACATTGTATTGTTCATGTAGATATATTGTCATGTTCTTTAATGATATTGTGTTAACCCATACATTATTGTTGCTCTTCACCACACGGATTATATATATAGTAAATAGATATTGTATTGTTTATATATGAATTTTTTCATGTTCTTTATGAATATTCTATTAGACATATACTTAAAAAATCTATACATTATTGTTCAGCTTAACCATATAAATTATACTCCCTCCATTAAAAAATGTAAAACATTTTTTGAGGAGTTGAATGTTCAAAAATGTAAGGTATTTTTAATCTTTTGAGGTATAATCATTGCCTTTTTTTCAAAAATATCCCCATTAATGGTGACTTTATATTTATTATAGGGTAGTTAATAGGGATAAATATAAAAAGATATGATTAGTTTAAAAATAAATAAAAACTTTATTGAAAAATGAGATTCGATTAAAAATAATTTATATTTTTAAACAGAGAGAATATATAATAAATGAACATTGTGTGATTTGCACATAGACATTGACATGTTTTTTTACAGACATTATGTTACATATACAACTGCAAAACTTATATATTTGGGAAAAATGCGTCTTTTCTCGAAAAGACGTATTTGCATTTGGGATTAGGTCTCCTAAAATTTTGAGTCTTAAGTGCAATTTTTTCCATTTTGTAGCCCTTAGGTGCGATTGTCTCTATTTTGAATCTAAAATAAAAAGATTAAATTAATATATATATATATATATATATTTTCTAAAATACCATTTAAGGGTGAGAGGATTTTTAAATCTTAACTGATTATTATTTGTTAAATATTCTTAGTAATTTTTTTAATTTTCATTGAAAAGATTTATTGCCTCTGATAAGATATAATGACATCATATAATAATTCATATAGCCAATCTCATTATATTATTCACAAATACTCTTTCAGCAATGATTGTAAATTTGAAAAAAATTATTGAGTGTCAAATTTCTGTAAATAAATAAATTCACAAGTTTGTTTTGCAAGATAAAATTGATAAGTTTGTTTTTTAATATTTCATGTTCAATTCTAAAAATTTTGTCACAAATCATTGTAAAGTTAATGGCAGATTTTAGAAAATGAATGTTAAATCCCTACAACTAGATGGCTCTAGATTTTTCTTTTCGATCTTTCAAATTTATAATGATTCATTGTATAGAATGATTTCAATTTGTATTTACCAAATTTAACATGAAATATTAAAACAACCAATTGTTATTTTGTTAATTCATTCATCAATAATTGCAAAGATTTAAAACACAACACACACACACACACATTCATAAATCTATAAGTAACAATAAAACAGCTTGTAATTAATCTTCGAAAAATATTCTAAAACACCAATCATTGGTGGAAAAAACTTTATTAGCAAGTATTTCAGTAATTAGAATTCCATTAATTTGGTTGTTTTTAGTCCCCAGGTAACTCTCCCAAGAGATAGTTGCAAAGTGGAGGGGGTGGAGAGTCTTCCATTTTCAATATAAAGATGTTAGCTTTCAACTCAACATATTTCTTTGGAAAAATTACATTTAATTAAGGACTATTGGAGCTCGTTAATTAAGAAGAAAGACTAAATAATTCTGAATTTATTTTGCAAAGCCAAAGAACCTAAATTAAATTTTGCCAGTGACGATGGGAAAAAATGAATATTTTTAGTAGATAAAATATAATGGATATTTTGATCTTTTTAAAATAAATTAAGTTTAATTACATTCACATTCGATGATCCTGCAGAGCAAATTTAGAATTGTAAAGTCCTTTTTCAAAATTAATGAGCTCAAATAATCCTTAGATGCAATCTGCCCTATTTCTTTTATGCTTTGAGAATAAATATAAATACAACTAATTCTCCTGGATATTTTATAATTCATTTACATTAATTTAAAATCAATATGCGTCTATGATGTACAATAACAAATCAAATAGGAAAAACTTATATATTTGGTCTGCTTATTTTTAATCAAATTTAAGGTGTGAATTTTTTATATATTATTTATTATATAAAAATTTGTTATTAATATTATTGACCACTTTAAAATACACTTATTTTAATTTAATTAGATACAAGTGTATTATACAAATATATAAGATTAAGTACCTAGATCTTTTCATATGATATAATGTGTTGGAAATGACATAATTTTAAAATTTTAGGATTAGTAAAGGAAATATATTATTTAAAAAAATAATATAAATATATTCATAAATAACATTAAAAAGTCTATAATTATAAGTTGATGAATTGTCTCGGAACATCCTAGAAAACAAATTAAGGATACAAATATGTTAGGATCACTTTATCAAAACAAATGTTAGGGTATGAATTCAATACATATAATACACATATCTCACACACACGCATGCATGCATTTATGTATAATGTTTTGAATGAAAGATATTTTCAATAAATATAATACGCGTATCTCATATATGTGCATATACAAATGTTAAAACACAAATATCCTTTTTTCAGGTTTAGGAGGTTTGATTACGAAAGATATTTTCAGAAATTATTAAAACATTTTTTTGGAATGAAAAATTATAAAAACATTTGAAAACTACGACTTTCTATGATTTTACTTTGGAACTTATACATCCTAAGTTTTCTTGAGAGGTCATACTATTTTTTGAACCATGTAAAAATAACTCAGTTTCCAGAAAGTTCTTTTTTTCTTCTTATCTCTACTTTCTCAATACAAATCGATATCTTAATTAAAAGCTAGAAAGACAGTTGTAAGTTAGTAATATTTTGCTTAATTGTAATATATTGCTTAATTGAGATAAGTGTTAAATCTCTACAGTTGTTTGAAATATTAAATAAATCTTTTTAATTTTTCACGTTAAAAATTAAAAACATCGGTTACGTGCTTTTTGTAAAAATTAGATGAGTCAACCTAAATAGAATAGAAAATTACAATAAATAAAAATCATAAATAAATTATAAACGATTAGATCATATTGAACACCTTCCTTCAAACTCAAGATGTCCTTGAATTTATAACAGCTTGTAGCAAATATGAATAAGTGATTGTTAAATATAATCTAATTATAATCAGATAACACTTAACACTTTTTATATATCAATGTCAAATAATTTTATAAGTTCTGCGTAAAATTTCTAAACGTACATATATTAGTTAAATATTTTTTTATCATTCTTTTATGTTAAAATTGAAATATCGTTTCTACTAATTTTTATATATGTGACAAAATTTAGGTCAGCATGAAATTTGTGTGTGTCTATACACGTGCATGTACATGCAGTAGTCTAGTAGTTAAACAAATGTTTTCAATATTCCTTGTTTCAAGTTGAAAAGTTGTCAACAATGTAGTGGTTATGCTATGGTTTCTTATCTCATAAAAAAAAAAAAATTATACTTCAGTTTTAAATTTCAAAAATAATGAAAAAAACAACTTGTTCAATAATGTCTATTCTTATTGGGAGTTCACGCTTATTTTTCGCAGTTTACTATTGATTATATAGTAACTTGCAACGAGTCTTCTTGATTTAACATTAGACATTTTGTGGAGAAGGGTAATTAAGTAATTTGATTTATACGTTTAATTATTAAGGACATTTTTACATAGGAAAATTGAATAACATCTATTATTTATACATAAGCAGAGTTAGCTGTGATCAATGTTGTTCCTGCGATTCTACAATTTAGGATGTCCTCCTTATGATTATATAAAGAAATAGTAAAAAAAGATAAGAAAAATTATAAATCATTTATAATTTATTTGCAAGAATAAAAATATATAAAGTAGGTTTCATCCTTCCATTTTTTTGCGGGCATGAATAACATAAATATTTTCATAAATATCAAATAACACTCGATAATATTAATTTAAAATTGATTTCAAAACCATTATCTTAAACCAACGATCTTGATCCGTTAGACGTAGAGGGGAAGTACCATTAGTGGACGTAGGCATTCAGGTTCGCTTCAAAAGGTTTGGTAATCGCTAATTGATTAGAAGATTATGGGATTAATTTAAAAAATTTATTCTATGTATTTTGTTTTGAAAAGGTTGTAGTTACTTAAGATACTAATATCGAAATATATTAATATAACTATTTTGTTTTACATGATTATAACTTAATTATTAAGATTAAATAAATATTAAGATTAATATTTCATGTAACTAATTAAGAATTTTGTTAGTATTTTGTACTTTCAATTTGTATAATTCCATTACATGTTTTTAGAGTCAATAATCTTCTATTTTAAATTAGAATTTTTTATGATAAACCTTTGGTTAAAGCATATTTTTGAAATAATAGCTTACTCAACCACAATGACCAAACTTTACCATGATAATTAGAAAGTAACCAATCTCAGTTATCTAACCATAATAGGGAAAACTTAACTGCACTTGAAAATAACTAACCATAGTAGAAAAGAAAAGAACTTAGTTTAAAAGTCTATTATAGTTAACGAGATTTAATTTACAATATTAAAACCAAAATTTATAAACGCTGGTATGACATAAAAAGTTAAACCGATCTTTCAAAAGATACTATGGTTGAAAAGTATACAAGTAACACCTTTTTAAAAGAGAAAGTGAAAATCTAGGATCCCAAATTTAGAAATTCATTTTCTAAATCCAAACATTTATTAAATAACATCTTATTAGAGTTTACAAGCAATTGGAATATGAGGTACTATCACAATTCAAAAATATTGAAAAATAGAGTTTAAAAGATCATTTTTCAAGAAAATGGCACATCCAAGATGGCTTACTAGATATATGCCATGGCTGACAGTATAGAGGTTGTCTACTATGGCCAAGACTTAGTGTGTCGTGGCTAGTGAGGATTTGTGCTATGTAACATCCAACAAAACTTAACCCTTAATTAGCTAAGTAAATGAGGTTAATTAAATAAATTAATATGGTGTGTGATTATATAGAGCTAATGAATGTTATGTGTTGTAATATCAGCCCTGAGATTGAGTTCGGAGTGAAGTCGAACTACCCGAACATCAAAAAGTGAGAAAAACAAAGGGAAATGACTGTGTTTCACATGCTGAGGTGCATGAGCCATCAAAGCACGAAGATCCCTCTCTGTACTACATGCCATGGCTCATGGTACATACGCCACAGTACGTGGTTGCATTTCTGTAGAGATAAGTACGCAAAACAAATATAAAATAGAGGAGAAACAAAAGAGGAAATAAGGAGCAAGTGAAAACCTTTACTAGGGCTTGAGATTTGGAAGCATTTGGAGTATTTTGAGACTTTCAAACATTAAAGGTAAGATTACTAAGCTCTTTCCCCCTCTTCCTCTTTGCAATTTCTTAATGTTGGGAGTTAGGGTTTGTTTGAGAAAGATAATTTTTGATCCATAAAGGGTATGAATTCGAACCCATTGACTTTTGTTTAGATTATTTAAACTTAGCATTTATGGTATTGTGAATTTTGATAGTTAAGGACTAATAAATACTCAAAATTCCACCATAAATGAGGTGGTTGGAGTAATGTGAAGCCATTAATGGCTAGTTGGAAGTTTAATAAAGTTAATGTGAGTTAAAGGAAGCTAATAAACCCTATAAATACTCTTGTATATGAGGACATTAAGTTGTGAGAGTTGAAAATGTTGATTTAGATAATAAAAATTATCCTAGAAAGTAAGGCTGCACAAAGACCGAATAGGACCAGGTTTATAGCAAACTCGATGCCTGATCTTGACCAAAACTGTAATGTCTGCCTTGACATTACTAAGATAACACTAACACGCTATTGTGATAACCCGGATTAATTAAAATCTCAAGTAAAAGTCATCACAATCCAAGGGTTTAAAAGTAATTAATTTAAAATATTGGGATCCCAAAAAAACCCTCTTTGAAAAATCATTTGAGCTCAAACTATGATTAAAAATAAATCAAATAAGATAACGGAAGCATGGGAATCAAACCACATTTGAAAATAAGAAGAAGAAAATTGAAATTTCTTCATAAACTAGCTCATGTGCCATGGCACAGGCCATACCCGCTGTAGTGGAAGGCACAGAGGGACGAGTCCCTCAGAAAGCATTGTTGCACCGCGGCGTGCGCCTACTATCATGACAGTAAATTGCTATCATGATAACACTCTAAACTTTTAGAGTTCACCGTTTCATCATCCGACATCTAATTTGAGTGATTCAAGTATCCACACGAAGCTTTATGAGCCCTCTAACTAATGACACCGGTCTCACACCCAAATGATCATCCATTAAAAATATGAACACCCAAACCCAAGATGATTTGTTTTCACCTTAAAACACAATCAAGGGTGTCCAATCGACACCACTAAGTGCCACTAGCCCTGGAGTCACTTTGACAACCTCAAATGAACCACACACAACATATATGGCTAGTCATATCACACAAATAACCATTAACACTCAAAATGACCACCAAACCCCTATTTTCAACAATATAAAAGGGTGGATAAAATTCAACATAAATCTCATTTGGTCATTCAACATATAGTTAATGCAATAAATCACTTGTATAAGTATCTTGGCCATTTACACTTAATCACAAGCATCACAATTTTAGGCCGGGATATGCACACATCACATAGAGTTTCATACAAGTGATAGTGAAACAATGTAATGATCCTGAGTTGGAATAACATCATAACATATTCATTACAAAACCTAAAAAGAGGAAAGAGAAGAGCTATACAATGATGCTCTTCACTCTTTAGTCACCCATTTCTTTCCCTTGCTCCTACTGGAGCCCTCACCTATAAAATATAACTATAGGGTGAAATAAACATCTCAGTAATAGAATAATTCTCTACTATTAATTAATGTGCACAACCAAAAGCGAGAAAAGCTTATATACTTTCAAAATACTCTTTTAGCATATTCAATATATCCTTTCTATAAACACAAGTCATCTACCACTAACATGATTATTCGACCATCTAAATTTTATACTATACACTAATATTTTTTAAATTATATTAAATTAATTCATTATCTCAATCCCCTGAAAGACAAGTAAAACAAGTAATTGAGTCATCTACTCAAACTCCTGATTCATTATTCCAGCCTTATAGTCCAAAAAAAATCGGTCTAATAATTCCTTTTACTGAAATAGTAAAAGAAGCCCGAAAGTCTAAAGCCCAAATAGTAACAAGAACACCTCAAAATGGTACTTTCACTTCTACCTTTTCTAGGAGAAGAAGTCCAAACCTAGTAACTTCACCATCCTTTAAGATGTTAGACTAGTATAATTATTTTAAACTTCTCATCAATAAGACCAACCATTTGCTCTTCCTAATACCAATAACATTAAATATGTTTCTCATTATTCTTTCAACAAAGTCATTGTTTATCCAAACACTAACCCTGATCTTGTAAAAACCTTGTACAATTATAGCCTTATTCACTCTATATATCCTTCTAATGATATGTCAGAAATATCAAAACTCCCAGAGTCAATTAAGGAAGCTGCCAAAGATTATTTTGAAATAGTAACTCAATACTGAGTCTTCATTCGGTGTTATTCAACTATAGCAGAAATAACTCCTGACAAATTCTATCATCCAATTAATTTGATTAAGTTCGGAATAACAAGAAAACCATTTGAGTATGAGCAAGAAGAAAAAGAAGATATTATTAATGATGAAGATATCAGATACAAGATCTCCATTATCAGAGCCCAAGAAGTACATATAATTTTCTAGGAGCTCAATAGGACAGCAATGGCAGAAGAAGAACAATGGACATATTTCACTGGCCCAACATGTATTTTCTCAGTAGGAAAAAATAGCAAAAATTCAAGAAGCTTCAACAATTGGTACCAAAGACTGAAAAATAATTTGATGGATAATGATGAAGGGACAGAAGAAAATATGTCAAGTATTGTCAGAATATGCTATCCATAAATGTAAATATTGTGATGAAAAAAGAGAAGCTGACAGAGACTATGAAGATCCTTCTATCAACATGAATATTCTAAATTAGCTTGCTGACAAGCAAAAGAAGACTGAAGAGGATGGAAGAAGAAAAAGTCAAAAAGACTAAGAGCTAAAAAGAAGCCTAAACCTATATTGTATCTTATAATAATTACTTTGACTTTCCATTTTGTCAAAAAGTCTAAGAAGTCTAAGTCTACCTTTCTCATTTTGTCAAAAGTAGTTTTGTTTTCTTGTAATTATTAGAGTTAAAATTAACCAAGGTTATGTAACCATGGTTGAAATGCCAACTCTATATAAAACCATGTAATCTCTGAAGCAACACACAGCTGAGAACCTTAGAGCTTTCTTGAGCACTTGAGTTCTCTGCCTTCTTGTAACCTTGCCCTCTTACCATTAATAAAAGAATTATGTTCATTTATTTCCTCCTTTGCAAGTATTGAAGATTAAAAGGTATGGCTGAGTAATTTCTTTTTAGGGGTTAAGGGGGATTATTATCTAATACTTAACAAAAGTTTTGGATTTCCGTAATGATCCTGTAAGGGGAATTACTGGTTATATGGTGCTATGGTTACACCTCCAGTAGGAAACGAAGGAAGGCTATGCTATGCTAGTTTGAAGGAAGTAAATCTGTAAAAGGTCTATAGCTAGGCTTTAGAAATTGTCCACTTGTTAATCTCAGTATGAAAGAGGACTGAGAACCTTTCATGTTCTACTATGACCCGGATCAATATCGGTCAAACCCTGTAGCAATACATAGTCAGCTGTTTCAGTTATGGTAGGGGATTGGGATAATGGACCCTTAGATTTCTCTAAGTCCTCCACTTTACTTGTCAAAATATTCACCTCATTTTTAAGATGAGAAACTGATTTAGATAATAATTGCATATTTGCATTTAGTTGTCCGGCAAGAAGAGTCATATTCATCTCCAGAATATTTACCTTCATAATTACTTGGTCTAGTGGGGTCATCATTGGTCCTGTAAGTGAACCACCACCACTACTATTTGTCATCATATTGGTCTCTCTTCTATTTGGCTCCATCTAGACAAATAATCAGCAATAATATTATTTTTTCCTTTAATATATTCAATTTCATAATCATAATAAGACATATCTGATTGTCATTTTATTAACATCTTATTACATAATTGAGTTGTCTTTATTCCTTTATTTAACCAATGTTTTACTTAAGTATTATCAGTTCTTATAATGAATCTAGTATTAATAATAAATAATTCAAACTTTTGTACAGCTTTTACTATTGCTAAAAATTCTTTCCAGTTTGAATAATATCTAGTTTGAGAATCGTTAAATTTTCCACTTGCTATCTAGTTATTACTTCTTCTTCCTTTTCATTAATGTGATATAAAGCTACCCCACAATAATTTTCACTAGCATCTGTATATCTCATCCATATTACATTATTATTTATTGGAATAGTTAATTTAGGTAGATTTTGACATAAAGTTTTATCTGGTTCACTATTTTTTCTTTTTCTTTATCCCATATCCATATTGTCTTTTCTCCAGCTAATTTACTTATTTTTGCTGTTAATTTTGATAAGTTTAGAATATAGTTTCTAGCCTGATTTACTAGTCCTAAAAATGATTGAAGTTCTTTTTTATTTTTAATTTCCTCAAATTTCAATATTTTCTTACTAATATGTTCTTGTAATTCTATTCTATTATTAGTTATGTACTGTCCTAAAAATCATATTCTTTCTTTTCTTAATTCAGCTTTTTTAGGTGATATGTTTAATCCTTTTTCTTCCATAAGATTTATAAATTGTTCTAAATGTTTTTCATGTTCTTCTTTATCCTTTGAGAATATCAAAATATCGTCTATATATATGACAGCAAAATTTTTTATTAGTAATAATAATTTTGTCACATATTCTTGAAATATACTAGGGCTATTATGAAATCTCATAGGTAATACATTCCATTCATACAGTCCTTCAGATGTACTAAAAGCAATATATTTTTTATTCTCTTCTAATTTTATTTGAAAAAATCCAGATTTGCAATCAAACTTACTAAATATATTTTTCCTCTTATTAGATTAAATAACAAATCTATTTTTGGTATTGGATATCTATTTCTTATTGCTAATTTATTTAATTTTTTATAGTTTATGACTAATCTTGATTTTTCTCTTTTTTCTTCATTATGTTTTACTACAATCACAACAGGTGATGAATATTCAAATCTACTTTCTCTTGTTAAATCATATTGTTTCATTTCATTAATGTGCATTATGAATTCTTTTTTATCATTTTCTGTCCATGGGTATAGTTTACAATTTATTTCTTTACTGTAATCTCTTAATTCTATTTTTGCCAAAGGTTTAGATTTTTTCCCAATGAACTAAAGGATTATCACTATAATTTTCCATTAATCTTTGTTCAATTGTTTTAATTTCTTTTGCAGTATTTAACAGTTTTATTGAATTTATAACTTTATTATTATACAAAGGTTTTTTATTTGGTAGAAATTGCACTTCATATCATTCTGCTTTCTTTTGAAATTTTTCATCTCTTCTACTATAAGATTTAGTTACTCTTACTCCCCATGCTTAGTGTTTACAAAGTATTATTAATATTATTGCTTTTTCAAACATATGTAAAAGATAATATTGTTCAATAAAATCTATTCCTAATATTACATCACATGAATTACCATTATATTGATTTAATTTTCTTATTTTTAATTCATATTCTCCTATTTGTACCATAATTTCTCTTGCTTCTAATTCAATACAATTAATTTCTTGTCCTACCCCTTGCATTCTTAATACTTTATTTTTCTTTTTCCATAATTCATTTGTTAATACATTTGCTTTTGCTATTGAAATATTTGCTCCTGTGTCGACTAAAGCATGATATTTTTTAAATCTATATTTGTGATAATTAAATTTTACCAATATGTAATATAATTGTCATATCAATTTTATTTTTTGGATTACTATTATTTGATGATTAATATTTATCATAATTTTTTCTTCTTGTATTCTCCATGATTTTACTTGTTCAAAAAAATCTTTTCCTAGGATTATTTTACATTGATTATTATTATCATCTATTACCTAGAATTTTACAGTTAAAACATCTCTTTCATTTATTCTTATTGAAGATATTATTTTATTTCCTTCATTTGTTACTTCAAGATTATTATTTGTTAATCCTAATTGTATTGTACTTTTTTGCTCTCTTGGGTCTACTAAGGACATTACATCTATCCAATTAGCATTTTGTTTACTTGTATAACTATATAGTTATTGTTTTCTATTGGTGTCTTTGGTCTTATTGATTCTAAGTCTGAACTTATAGGTCTTTCAGTTCTAAATCTTAACAATAATCTTTCTTGTCTAGACATTCCCCTACTTGTATTGGGTCTTGGCTCAAAACTAAAACTTCTTCTAATAGTAGGTTGATTTATATTTATATTTAATGTTAATGTACTTATTCTTAATGTTCTTTGTCCTATATTGTCATTGGTTATCAGGCTCCTTGAATTATTTTCATTTTCATAATATCCTATTGTATTATCTAATTTTAATCTTAATTATTCAGGTATTGTTATTCTGGTTGGGTCTAATTCTATTTCTTATAATACAGGCATAAAATGTTTGTCAACTTACCTTCATTTCTTTTATAAATCTTATGTTCATTTGTAAATACTAATCCTATCATAGCAGTTATACTTATTGTTCTTGATCCTGATAATAATTTTATTCTTCCTAATTTATGATATATTAATAAAGTCTTATTTATATTTTCATCAGCTCTTGAAATACAAAAGTTAATGTTTACTGTAAATTTTAGTTTTTGATATATTAAATTTTCAATTAATATCTTTAAAATACTATCTTCAACACTACTTATTATTCTTCCATCAATTATTAATAATTATATTGGTGAATTTCTTCATTCTTGAAAATAAGCTTTTACTAATAATTGTACTCCAACAATATATATTTCTGTTACTTCATCTTTAAATAATAATTTATTAATTTCAGCATCTATTAAAGCTTTACTTATTAAAGATATTCTCCATATTCCTTCAATTTACTTATTAAAGGTATTCTCAATACTTCTTCAATTAATGTTAATTCTATAGGGTGTTTTTTTTCTAATACTACACATGCATATTTTTCTTGTTTCTTAGACTTCACAAGTTTTCCTACTTTATTCATAAAACTTTCATTTTTTAATTCTTCATGTTTTAAATTTAATTTTGAATCTGTTATTTTTTTATATTGTTTTTGATTAAAAGTCATTCTTTTTTGAACTATTCCTTCCTTTGCACGTACAACTTCTTCATATTCATTTTGATTACTACTTTCAAGTTCATCTTTTAATCTATTCATCATATACATATAACTTATTTCTTCTTCTTCAAATTCACTTTCACTGACTATTTTTAATTTATAAATTTTTATTTTTAAATTATCTAATTCATTTTCTATTTCAGATAATTCTTCATCATATCCTATAAGTTCTAAATTTTCTTTATATGCTTCTTCCATTATTTTCATAATTTTCTTATCTTTTTTATTTGGACAGTTAGGTGATATGTGTCCTAATTCTCCACAATTATAACATTTACATTTTTAAGGTCTTTTATTATAATTTATTCTTATTTTTCCTTTTCTCTTAAAGAATTTTCTTGATTTATATTTATTATGTTTTTTATAATATTTTTCTTTAGGATATCTTTTGAATTTTATTTTGAATTTTATTTTCTTCTTTTTCTTTCCATATTTTTCTGGTTTATATCCCCATTTATGTCCTTTCATTATTTCTCCACATCTTAATATTGTTTTGCTAGTTTTATGATATTTCATATTTCTCCATACAGTTCTACATTTATCGGCTATATATTTTCTTAAAAATAATTCTCTTCTTCCTGTAGTATTTATCTTATTTAAAACATTTATTGGACCTTGTCTTGTATCATCTATTATTTCATCTCCTTCTGAGGTTACTTTATAAGTGTCATAATAATCTTCTAATATTGTATCTGATATTAATTTTGGTAGTTTTCTATAAAATAAATCTAAATAGAATTTTTCTTCTTTTAAATCTTCTAATCATGCTTCATAATAATATTTTTATATTCACATATAAAAGCATTTAAATATTCTGGTTCTAATGAACATAATTCTATTTCATGTAATATTTTTATTGCTTGTTTTTGTTGACTCATTTCATTTATATCCATACTTATTCCTCCAAATTTATTTAATAATGTTTTTATATATTTATCTATTAACATAGCATAATATTCTCTTTTACTATGATAACTTTTATCTAATCTTCTAAATTTTTCTCTATATTCTTGAGTTTTTTTTCCACCAATTTTTTACATTTTCTAAAAATGTTGCTTCTATCAACATATTTACAGTATTTATATCTACATTTTTTCCTATTAATGCTATTAATGTATCTTTTCCCCATTCTTCTATTACTTCAATATTGTTTAAATTATAATCTAAATTTAACCATATTCTTGAATTTGATATTTATTTACTTTCATATTGTGCTAAAGGTGTGGGTGTAAATTCATTATTTTTGAGTATCTTGAATGTAGCCTGAAAAGGTATATTATTACATTATTTTTTTATTTAAATTTATAAAATCTATTTCATAATATTGTTCTCTTTCATCTAATTCCATCATCCTTTCATCTCTATGTTCTTCAGATATTTTACTTGATTCTACATTTCTATTATTATAAGATGGATCATCTAAATTTGGTGCTACAAAATTTTGATGTATTCCATATGGTTATTGGTCATGAATTACTATTTGTGAATTTTGCATATTTATAAATCCTTCTTCAAAATTATTATTTATCATATGTTTATATTCTTATTTTATTTTTTCTAATTCTTCTCTTTCTTCTATTTCTTCAATTTGTAATAATTTTTAAAATTCTATTTTCAATTCTTCAGATTGACTTTCTAATTCACTTTCTGTGTCATTTATTGTTTGTGCCATATTTATTTTTGCATTATTTTTAAGTTTTGGTTTATTTTTC